TAGCCCCACCTGTTCTGTGGAAGATTAGCAGCCTTCTACAGAATTCCAGTCTTCAGTTGTTTCATGGTTTAGAAAATTGGACTTATTTTCTCCTGGTAGGGTGGGGATTGGTGGTTCACAGTATAAAACAGTCTCTAACTAATAGTAGTATTAAGTATGCTATTAGATTTCAGAGGCGTAAAGAAGTTACAAGTCCCTTGGATGACATATAAATAAAACATTCACGGTTTGGTTTAATGCTAGTTCAGCTGTTCCTTAAGATGCTGCTTTCTAAGTTTCTGACGAGTGGAGACCGCATCGGTCATTACCTGTCCTATCCTTCTCATAGCAGCTGCTTTGTAGCTAGGCTGTGACACCTGTAGGCTGTGGTTACGGAGCTGAGCAGAAGGCTTGGTGACTTGACTGTAATTCTATTCAATTTGTGTGGAAGAATATTTTTTAATGGTAAAAAGTGGGACTCAAATTTTTGCCTTGCACAGAATAGGAAATTCAATGTTAATATTCAAGCAGATACGGCCTTTTATAAAAATTGGAAGCGGCTGTATCTTTGTGTGATTTATTTCAAACTTTTTTGAAATGTTTGATACAAAGTAAAGAGTGTATAAAATATATATGTTTCAGCCTAAGAATAACAAAAAGAATATACATTACCTATCACTCAGGTTAAAAAATAGAAATTACTGGTATTTGAGAATGCAAAGTATATCCAGCTGTCCTCTCTACCTTGTCTGTCCCCAGAGGTGCCATTACCCTGACTTAGGTGTTATTTCTTTTCTTCATAGTGTTATCGTCTCTGTATATATTCCTAAATGACATACTGTTCACTTTGAAAAAATGAGTAGTGTGCCAAGCTAGCTGAGTTTGGAAAGGGCAGCATTTCCACAGTTAGATGGAGGCGCCCAGGAAAGGGGCCCAGGAGCTTAGTTAGCATCAGGGGCTCTGAGTGTCGGGGGAGTCTGCTCAGGCGGTCAGTAAGCGGTGTCGTGAGTTAGCTCCTGCAGACACGGGGCCGGCGTGGTCAGGAATCTGGCAGGGCTGTACTACGGACCCCGTATTACAGGTTTGCTCAGCAGGTATGTGGTCACCTAGAAAGAGTGCTTGTTCCGTACTTTTGATTTCTGTGCTCCTTGTAGTCTTCTTTCAGCACTTTGGAGTACATCAAAGCAGAGCTCATCTGGGAGCTGAAGGAGTGTTCTCAGCTGATCTGGGTAGCCAGGCAAGGTGGGGTGAGTGGGTACCTCAAGGCAGGTGAGACATGAATTGCAGTGTGGAACAGGCTTTATCAAGGCCTCTGTGCTGTGAAACAGTGTCAGTGTTTCTCTTGGAGATGACAGTTGGTCGTGCTGTGTCTCAGGAGTCACACTGCCCTGCACCAGTTCCCCTTAAATTCAGCGTACAGCTGGTGTCCTGGGCTCTCTCTTCACAGGCTTCCCCGAAGGTTGCTAACATCTCTCCCCCATGTTGGATCTCCTGTGTTCTGTATCCTAAGTCATCTTTTTTATTAAAAATTTGCTGTTTTTTTTTTAATGGAAAACACTTTCCAGTTGCTTCTTGAGAAAGGATGCAGGGAGGTAAATGTTTTGAGCTCTTTCACATCTGAGAAAACTGTTATTCTACTTTCATAAGATGGTTTGACTGGGTGAAGAATTCTAGGTTGCAAATAATCTTCCATTATAATTTTGAAGAAACGGCTCCATTGTCATCTTCCTCCGAGTGTGGTGGTTGAGAAGACCGAACTGAGTCCTCAGTCTTTGTGTGTGGTGTGCGTTTTCTTTCTAGAAGCTTGTAGAATGTTCTTTGTGTCCCTGGTATTATGGTGTTTTACAATGGTGTGCCTCAGTGTGGGTCTCCCTTAATTTTTTATACTAACACTCGGTAGGTCTTCTCAAATGGGCAGCTTATGTCCTTCAACTCTAGAAAAATTTCTGGAATTCTCTGATTTCTTACGAACTTCCCCTTCCCTCTCCATTTTCTTATTTCTGGAACTCCTGTTATTCAGAGATTAGGCCTCCAGGACTGGGCCTCTCCTATTCTTCTCTTTTCTTTCCTGTTTTCCATTGCTTGGTCTTTTTTCTCTGGTTCTTGGAAGACTGCCTCAGTTTTATCTTCCAAGCCTCTGTCTTTTTATTTGAGGTATTGTGTTTTTAATTTCTAAGAACACTTTATTTTTTAATGTTATTGTATTCTGTTCTTGTTTTATGGATATAAAATCTTTTGTTCTCTGTGAAGAAATCTTTTGTGTGTGTGTGTGTGTGTGTGTGTGTATGTGTGTGTGTGTATCCTGTGTCTTAGATAGCTGGTAATACTTGGCTGTCTGCTCGTGATTAAAAGTTGAGGACTAGGGACTTCCAAGATGGAGGCGTAGGTGGAAACACTTTGCTTCCTTGCACAACCAAATCTAAAAACAACAAAGTTTTAACAACATTAAACACAACCAAATCACAGAAAATCGAACAATATGGAGTCTGAAAACAATAAACAGCTCAGCTAAACCAGTGAGAGGGGCAAAGCCAGCAGCGGAGCGGGTCGGGCAAAAAACAATCCCTGACCTGGGTGGCGAGCAAGCAGCCGAGGGCACGGATACCAGGTGTGGGGTAGCTACAGGAGGGTGCAGCACTGCTGGCTGTCTGAGGTCACGCATTTGCACGCAGATAAACCAGTGAAGGGACGTGCATGGGACAGACCAAGCAGGCCCTGGCACAGGGTGGTGGGCTCGCACATTTATGCTCAGATAAACAGGCGGGAACAAGCAGTGAGGCGGACTGGGCGAGCGGAGAGGACCACCATTGCTCCCTATCTGACCCCGCCCCCACACACAGCTCACAAACCAGCGACCTGGGTGGCCCCGCCCTGTTGAACATCTAAGGCGCCTCTCCTCATACGTAACAGGCACAGACAGATCAAAACATGGCTCAAGAAGAACTCAGAGCCCCAGAGCCAATAAATCTAAGCGATGAAGAAATAGCCAAACTTTCAGATGCACAGTTCAAAACACTGGTGATCAGGATGCTCACAGAACTGCTTGATTTTAGTCACAAATTAGAGGAACATATGAAGGCTAAACTAATTGAAATGAAGGGAAATACACAGGAAACCAATAGTAATGGAAAGGAAATTGGGACTCAAATCAAGCGAGCAGACCAGAAGGAAGGAAAAAATGACCAAACAGAAAAATATGAAGAAACAAGAATTCAAAAAAATGAGGAGAGGCTTAGGAACCTCCAGGACATCTTTAAGCGTTCCAACATCAGAATTATAGGGGTACCAGAAGGGGAAGAGGAACAGCCACAAGTGGAAAACTTATTTGTTCAAATAATAAAGGAGAATTTCCCCATTCTGGCAAAGGAAATAGACTTCCAGGAAATCCAGGAAGCTCAGAGAGTCCCAAAGAAGTTGGACCCAAGAAGGAACACACCAAGGCATATCATAATTACATTAGCCAAGATGAAAATGAAGGAGAAGATCCTAGAAGCAGCAAGAGATAAGGGAACAGTCACCTACAAAGGAGTTTCCATCAGACTGTCAGCAGATTTCTCAAAAAAGACCTTACAGGCAAGAAGGGGCTGGAAAGAGGTATTCCAAGTCATGAAAACCAAAGATCTACAACCAAGATTGCTCTATCCAGCAAAGCTTTCATTTAGAATGAAAGGACAGTTAAAGTGCTTCTCAGATAAGATCAAATTCAAGGAGTTCATCATCACCAAGCCCTTATTATATGAAATGTTAAAGGGCCTTACCTAAGAAAAAGAAGATAAAAAAGTTGGACAATGAAAGGACAGCAAACTCCCAGTTATTAACAACCACACCTAAAACAAAAGCAAACTAAGAGGACAGCTAGATCAGGAGTGAACCATAGAAATGAAGATCACATGGAAGGTTAGCAACAGGGGAGTGGGAGAAGGAGAAGGGGGGAGAAGGTACAGAGAATAAGTAGCATAGACAGTAGAGAGAAAATAGGGGGAGGGTAAGATTAGTAGGGGAAATATAGAATCTAAAGAACTTGACACACGTGTTCATGAACTAAAGGGGGGGATGGTGGGGGAGGGGTGTGCAGGGTAGAGGGGAATGAAGGGGGGAAATAGAATGAATGTAATGGCATAATCAATAAAAACAAGTTAAAAAAAAGTTGAAGACTAAAGCCAGCCAATGAGTCTGCTTACTTGAATGTGTTTCTGCATAAATTTAGAGAAAGCTGGCGATAATAGAGCCACGTTTCCAGCCTTAAAGACATTACAGTCATTGAGGTCCCTGAGAATGGCTATAACAAATGTAACAAGAGGTGTAGAACTAAAAAGCTGATTGGAAACAATTTCTGGTACAGTGGTGATACCAGCAGATGTGCCTAATATACCTCAAAGTTGCTCTGGTTCTCCCTCTCCAACCTTCTCCTGAGGTGGGGAGGGCTTGTCACTGGGCATCATGGAGGAGCAAGTGAGTCTAGGAATCAAAGTGTTTTTTGAACAGGTTTAACATAATCTTCCTTGTTTTCAACCCCCTCCTCTTTCTCTACCACCTGCTGCTGTTCCATTTCCAGAAGTCATTGGGATCACGTTCTCCAGTGCAGTGTGTCAGGCTGTGGGCTGGCTTTCCTGGGTCCCCCAAACCACTTCATAATGTTTACCCATCCACTTTCCATCTTCCAAGGCTTTGTTACTCTTAGTTCTTCTCCCTTGTTGCTTTTATCTCTTCTCCTTACAGGTTTATGTCTAAAAGTCTTACTGTTGTCATGAGAGAGTGAAATTTCATGCATGTTTTTAATTTGCCATCTTCATCCTAAAGCCCTGATTATTTAAACTGTTTAGTCTATGCCTCACCTCTTAACTTGAACAGATTGTTAAAATGAGCCCCTTTCGTCTCTTGTTTTGGTTTTTGCATTCATATTTATAATACATGCAACTCATTGTGTGGACTCCTTGAGGCGCTATGAACTCAAGGGTTTAAACATGAACCCAGCATTTGCGAGTACAAAGGTTGATTGTTTTTTAAATTTGCTCTTGTAGGAAAGTGAGAAGGTTTCTGAATACCCAGCAGTGATTGTGGAGCCGGTACCCAGTGCCAGAGTAGAGCAGGGCTATGCGGCCCAGGTTCTGGTTTATGATGACGAGACTTACATGATGCAAGATGTGGCAGAAGAACAAGAAGTTGAGACCGAGAATGTGGAAACAGGTAGACGTCTCGTCAAACGTTTATTGTTTGTAACTCTCTCATTTCGTAAGTGTCAGCGCTGCCATTGCCAGATGAAAAATGTACCAAAACCCTCTTTCTAATGCTATGTAGTACAGACTGGAAACCAGTGAAACATCTTTTATTTAAGGGAATTCATTGCTAGAAGAAGTTCTCCATTATAATTTTTTGAGGTATAATAGAATCTCATATCATGGGTCCAAAGGATAAAATGACAAGCCCACAATAATAAAATTGTTTTTAGCACTTTTTCTGGGAGTGTGAAAATTGACTAGTTGTTATTTACTTATAGAAGTCAGTAGGCTAGTATATGAGGGTAACTTTTTTTTTTTTGCTAAAAAATAAATTGGTATTTTCATTCTATAACAGATGAAGAGTTTCTTTGACTCAGTATTGGTAGAGCAGTGTGATCCCCTTTTTTTTAGGTCAGAAGCATCTTTGCAATAGTCTCTCAGATTCCTCATCCCGTTTTGTCTTGGAAATTGTAGTATTTTCAGTGTGCCTCTGGTGAGATAACCGTATGTTTAATTGGGGGTTAGTTTGTACAGTTCTTGAAGAAACCTTTTAATTTTTGCCTTTGAGCATAAATAAAATAAGAGTATTTTAGCAGAAGGATTGTAGTGACTAATAGTAATGCACATTATTATTTACCGTTAGTCATTAATGGAGAAAAAGAATCCTTGAGTCCTAATAAAAATTCTTAAATATTTAGATAAATTGCTGTAAAAGTAGCCAAGTGTCATGATGAAAACTGTGAGTGGTTGATTGTCTTTCTGCTTGTGGGGGCCCAGCAGCACTCCCTGGGACCACCTGCTGTTTCTGGCCCAGAGCTGTGCCTCTCCCTCCAGCTTGATTTTTTGTTGAGCTGAGGGACTGGGAGCTTCCTTGCTGCTCAGAGCAGTGGTGACAATATGCTAGCAAACCCTGTGTGAAGTGGTGATCAGTTATTTTTCAAAACAGGTTGCCACCGACTTCAATAGGCTTCATGGCTCGAGTTTGCAGTGGTACTTGAATTACAATAGATAACAGTGCAAGTAGCAGGAAGAGACCTGCGTTTTTCTGAGTTTGGAGAGTTTCTCAGTCAGAAACTAGAAGTCAAGTGGCAGAGATGAATTCTCTTCTCGAGAAGAATAATAGGAGGAACAGCTAAACGCGTTATGTGTGATGATATTTCGAAGCGGCTGTTGTAACCGATTTCATTATAGGAGCATAACTACACAGAAAATGAATAGCAGAAGAACAAAAAAGTATGGCAGCTAAAGTCGAATGAAAGAATAGAATTGTTTGAAATTTCTGGAAAATACTCAAAGGCTATGGAAGACTGATTTTGATAGCAAATTAGAAACTGTAAAAAATTAAAACTATAGTGTCAAGTTTGCATCAGCAGACAATTATCTTATGGTAAAATATTTATTACATTAACATTAACAGAGCAGATCAGTCAAATCTTACTGGTTATACAGTTGGTGGTCATTGCTTCATTAATTTAAAGTACTCAGATAAAAGCAATTCCAAATAGGAAGCAAATATAATCCATTTAACGGATTTCATTTCCTTAATCTTGTTTAACTCTGAATGTGATGATATCATTTGTAGGACAGAGAGAGGAGTGATTGTGATATTGAAAAAGAGGCTCTATAAAGTCCAGGTAAAATATAACAGCTATTTTTGTGATATTTTTAAAAAGTGGTTTTTGAACACTTGATAATATTTTTAGATTTTTCTTCAACACTAAAATACGAGTAAATAAGTCACATTATGCTGAAGTAGCCTAGAGGTGCCTGAGAAGTCCATCTTAATTTTTAATTGCATACTGGCTCGTGGATTTTTAGGGAAATCTGTGCTTGCTTTGTTACCTCTAAAAATACAGAATAGTATGGCAGAGCTATTTTTGTCTCTCTTCACAGAACAACCCTGTAAAACTTAGAATTCAGTTACAGCTCATTTAAAAAGGCAATGCCAAATTCTTACTGAAAACTGCTGGCTCATATACACACGTCAGCAATGACAACCATTTAAAACACTCCCATTTATTCATGATAAGGCATGCAGGCCATGAAGTCCACAATATACTGTTGTTTTACGATATTATAGCTCATGGATTTTATAAGGATCGTTAACAAATATAGGTTAGTTTAGAAAAGTTAGCCTGAGCTTAAATTTGTTTTTGTTTAAAGACTCAAATGCATTTTTAAACAAATTAAATAAATTTTCCATTCTCCTGACACCTAGAACATATACAAATGAATGAAGGTTGTTATGACTTATATTAATGCATGTTTTCTTTTAGGTAGTGGATTAGGATCAGGCTCTTTTCTTGTGGTATAAAGTTTTAACTTAAATTCCAGATCTGTGTGAATTTTGGAGGAGAAGCTGAGTGGGAAGAAAAGCAAAGGAATATTTATAAGGTGGTAATAGCACGTTTTATTTGGGGAAGTGGTGGAAATGAGATTCATGTAGAATAAGATTTCCTTTTGCACAACTGGGAAACACTTCCTGGGATGCTCCTGGCTTGGAACTCAGGTTACATTCGTCTAAAAATGTTTATGATGATGCTCGTTGACCTGTACGCCGGTTCTCTGCCTTCCTGTGTACCCGTTCGTGTATGTCCACGCCACAGACAGTGTTCATGACGTCATCCAGGCAGGACTGCTCAGATCTAGTGATGTATATTTAGCCATCTTCATTATTTTAAAAAAAAAAGATCCTTAATTTTGTTAGGTGTAATTATGTGCTATTTTGTCTCACCTTTTTATAGTGTAAAAGTTATTTTCCTCACAGAGCTTATATGTAATAGTAATCCCCTCTTAAAATTTATAGAAAAAAACAGATGTTTTGCAAGTTTACCAATAGGCATGTTGAGCCCTGGCCCACGTGGCTCCCTTGGTTGGAGTGTTGCCTGTAACCAAAAGGTTGCAAATTTGGTTCCAAGTCAGGGAACCTGCCTGGGTTGTGGGGCTGCCCCTTGTTCTGGGGGCTTGTGGGAGGCAACCAGTAAATGCTTCTCTCTCAAGTTGCTGTTTCTCTCTCTCCTTTTCTCTCTCTCTAAAAGCAGTGAAAAAATGCCCTCAGGTGAAGATAAAAAAGAGGCATATTCATCTAAACATATAAACTTCTTTTAAAATTTTTTAAATTTATTTATCTTTAGAGGGGAAGGGAAGTAGAGAGGGAGAGAAACATCAATGTATGGTTGCCTCTCGTGCGCCCCCTGCTGGGAACCGGCCCGCAGCCCAGGCACGTGCCCTGATTGGGAATCCAAGTGATCCTTTGGTTCCCAGGCCCGCGCTCAATCCACTGAGCTACACCAGCCAGGGCTATAAACTGCTTTTTGAGGACAATTTGGGGTTAGTAACCCTGAAGAGCCTTTGAGAAAATGCAGTGTGGTGTGGATGAAGGGTGGTCGTGGTTGGCAGGCCCCACCAGCTCTGCAGGCTGCTCCTTGGACACAGGGGCTGAGTTGGGGGTGAGGGAGAGAGCGGTCTCTTGAATTTTGGAAGATTGGAAAATGCAATTTTTATGTTCGCTCAAAAAACATGTATATGTGTATATGTATGACTAAATTTTCTTTTAATTTTTATTTATTGATTTTACAGAAAGGGAGAAGAGAGGGTACAGGAGACATTTAGACACTGATTTATTGTTTCACTTATTGATGCATTCATTGGTTGATTCTTAAATATGCCCTGGCCAGGGATCGAACCTGCAACCTTGGTGTATTGGGACAACATTCTAACCAACTGAGCTACCCTGCCAGGGACAATAATAAGTTTTGATAGAAATCTTTTAGGCTTGTCTGGAAGATCAGTTTAGGATCTGCCTCTTTATCTCACACCTTAACTTACTATATTTATCCTCTTAACCTTTCACTTAAATTTATGAGAATATATTAGTAAGTACTTTGCATTTTTTATGTGCAAGGGCACTGTTTTCAATGAACAAGATTAGGAAATGTTTTTGAGAAAGTGAAGCAAGAGGACAATTGGTAGGATTTGGATGGACAGCTAGGAAGTAGGCCAAAGGCATTTTAGACTAAAGGAAATGTCGTTAATAAATAGGTTGGAATAGTAAAGTTCAAGGTATGGTTAGACGATACTGAGTCAATACGACCTTGACAGAAGGTTCCATTAAGAGTTGTGACTAGATCGCGATTTGAATCGAAGAGTCAGTCATTAGGTATATAAAACGCAGAAAGACTAGAAGGTTTATATATATATACATGCATACACACACACATACATATACATATATATTTTAAAGATTTTATTTATTTATCTTTAGGGGGAAGGGAAGGAGAGAGGGAGAGGAAATATCAGTGTATGGTTGTCTCCCATGTGTCCCCTGCTGGGAACTGGCCTGCAACCCAGGCATGTGCCCTGACTGGGAATCAAACTGCAATTGTTTGCTTTGCAGGCCCATGCTCAATCTACTGAGCTATACCAGCCAGCAAGATTGGAAGGTTTTGAGTGGAAAGTACTATGTATTTATTATCTCAGTAGATAGAGGATAAATTGCAGGGGAGAAGATGAGGCAGGAAGGCTAGCTGTTGTAGCATGAGTTAGGATGACTTGAAAAATATTTAAACTGGGTTAGAAGCAGTAGGAACGGAAGGGGCTTATATAAGCTACCTTACTATGTAAGGTCTAACAAGACAGGGCAGATTAAGGGGAGGGGAATAGTTACGATAGCACTCTGTTTTTGACACTAAGTGTTGACGCTAGTATTGTATAGGGATTTGAGGAAGCAGGTGAGTTTGGTAATATGCCTGTGGATTTTGAGTTGGAGCAGAACATTGAGGGGACATATTCAAGTATTTAAAGATGCTCAAATGTATGTATAGTCAGGGTCCCATCACAAAAGAGGTGGCCTACTCAAATTAGCATAATTAAAGGAACATTTTAATAAACAGCTAGTTTACAAATATGAGGGCAAGCACAGGACGATTGTAGAGATGGGTGGCATCCCAGAGTTGGCAATGACAGAGC